GTGTAGGGACTTGTTTCATTTGTTTTTCTCCTATCTTATTTTTGTTTGTTTAAAAAAATATTGAGTAAATTAAAATAAGATGAATAGTGCATAGTTAATTAACATTTTCATCATCATTATGTGTATATGTGTGAATTAAAAAACAATTTCATCCTGTGTATATGAAAGAATCATACCAATACTTATGTCTTTCTTATTTTTTTCCTTTCCTTTCCCATTTGTCATTGGGTGTGCTTTTCAATTATAACTAAAGGAAATGGGTAGTTGAACTCAAACTCAAAATGGACCAAACAGATGGATAAAAATGAAATATTTAGAGGTTTTATACTACAATTAATAAAAAAAATTCAATTAGAATGAGTTATAATAACCTTTTATTCATATATTATCTATTATGCTTTTAGTAAACTTACTTTTTTATTCAATAAATAATATTTAAATCAATCTCATCCAACAAAATATATTTCGTGAATGTTTAAAGAAAATATTTTCATTTGGTTAATCGCGGCTAGCTACCTCATTTAGCTGAAATTCCATGAATATGTTTTCATGAACCAAGAAAGATGAATAGGCGAAGTAACCTTATAGTGCAATTTGAAGGGTGGAATTATTTTAAATAATTTTTACTTCCATGTAGTTCCATACCTTACTAATCTATTAAACGTAGATTGGAATGATTGGGAAGGTAACGAGTTTCAGGTAGGACTACTCATTATTTTTTGTTAATTGTGTTAATCAAGGTGTAGTTTCCATGATCAAGGTATGTATTATTAAAAGACACACAGTTGACGTAGGAAAAAAACAGGAAAAAGGAAGGGAAGAGGAAAAGAAAGGAAAAGATGAGGAGGACCCCAAATCACTCCTAAAAACTAATTGTTCAACTCCATTGCAATTTGCAAGGTGAGTACATCTTCTTGTCTTCTCTAATTTCCCTTGTTTTTATTTTCATGTTTGATCATTCTTATCGCTGATTGTATCCTTTTAGGTATCATTCATGAATGATATATATTTATAGAAAATTTATCTAAAGACCATAATTTTGATTCATGCACCGCATGAATCCTATGACGTATGCGCAAATCAATAAGGTAGTTGAATTCCTTTCAATCCTCATCAGGAATCAGGATAGCATATTGGAGATCGATTTGCAAACTAAATAGAAATCCACTTGTTATCGATCATTACAATGATCGCTGTAACTTGTATCCTCTCCCGATGGAAATAAGTGGAGTCAAATCCCATTTTAGATTACTCTTGAAAAATTTGTCCTATAAGTAAATTATTAACTTTAATTTTTAATTGTTTATTTGTTACAAAAATTTTTAGGATTTGATCTTATTTACATTACATGCTTTATACAATATTTATAAATAACCTAATATGGAAATAAGTTTTAAGATATTATATTATGGAGAAAAGATAATCATTAGAAAGAGATAGAATAGTGTGTATCAAAATTCGTATATAGTAATGCTAGTCACATGAAGTGTGAAGAGCATTCTAATAAAATATTGGGTATTTTTATATTAGTTTGTCTCATCTACCGTGATTATGTTTAATTTTTAATCCAACCAGATTGAGTTTCAATATCTTTAAACAAAGATAGAAGTATTCTTTCAACAAGCCACTTTTGACTAAATTCTAAATATTCTTTGACTTACCTTTTCAAATAACTACTCAAGTATTCTTTTCACAACAAGCTTCTTTAGGCTTAACAATCAAATATTCTTTTACAATCAAGCATATTCAAGCTTAAAAAATAAGTATTTTTTTTCAAACAAGCCTTTCAAAACTCAAAACAAACATTTTTTTACAGACAAACATTTCCAAACTAAAAATCAAATATTATTTTACAAATAAGTTTCTCCAAACTCAAAACAAGTAATCTTTTACAAACAAACCTCTTCAAGCTCAAAACAAGTATTTTTTACACACAAGTCTTGTTAGGCTCAAAACAAGTATTCTTTTATAGACAAACCTCTCCAAACTCAAAATAAATATTCTTTTACAAATAATTCTCTCTAGGCTCAACCTTATAATAATGGTTATGAAGGTTACACAGATGTTGTGTTCGTCTCACTTAGACGTTATACAACCAGTATAGAGCAGAAAGCTTTTTACAAGAATGAATAAATATGATTTATAAAAAGTATTTCTTTTTATACAAGTCTTTTTTGTATATTATGCATCTCTCTTTCTTGAGCTTTGAATCTTCTTATATAGTAGTTTGGAGAAGATGAATGTTGCAATACTTTGAGTCCAGCTCACAAGTTTATTTTATTTATCTTCATCGTCTTTACTTGTGATGACAGGTAACTATTTGACTCATTTAATACAAACATTAAATGCATTTCACCAAATGGTACCTCTTATCTGATCAAGGAGGTTGCTTATCAGCTTTCTATACCAAATAGAGCCTATAGAAGCAATGCCAACACAAAGCAACCATAACAATGGCTTTATTACTTTTCTTTATGATTTCAGGGATCTTGATTCTAATAGAAAGCATGATTTTTCTCTTTAATATATTCGTGAGTTCCAAGATGACTTTTTGGTTCAATCTGTTAAGGAATGAAATATTCAATACAAACTTTGTCAATAGTCTCAATAAATAATACACATTTATTATATATGAGAAAAATTGTATGTTTTATCTGATTTACATCATCTCCCAAACGATTTGTGTCTTACACTTCATTTGACAAACATTTTCAAAGATATTTTTTAAGACGTTTTTGAAAACATTTTCTCTTATAAAAATATTTCATTTGTTAGCATTAAAACTATAAAGCTTGAGAGATTTAAAATCGTCTTTCGACTTAACAATCTCCTCTTTTTTATGGTGACAAACACGTCTTTGTATTTTTTAAATGCATATTTTTCTTTGTCTGAGAAAACATTTTTGTTTTGATGAGATGAAAAGATTTTTGTCTTTTTGAAATGGTTTCATCTTTCAAAAGGTATTTTTCTTGAAAACAGTTCTGACCTTTTAACCTTGAAAAGCCTTTTCAATTTTGCCTAAGAAATTTTGGGATAAAAAATTGCATGCATAGATTCCACCAAGATTGGAAACTATGGTACAATAAGGATGTTAGATGAATTAGGAAAGTCCAAGCTCTTGGCTTCGACGTCAGTCTCACCAACCTAAGCAAGACCTTTAGGTTGAGGCTCCCCCTCATAAACAACTTGGGGTGCCTCTTGAACTGGTGCTTGGGGCTCTTCTTGAGCTAGAGTGTGGGTCTCCAAGAGAGACACTAAGACCAGCTTCTAACTACTTAGCCTCTAGAGTAGTTAGAGTAACGTCTGTGATGACCTATTGCTTTGCTTCTTCAGTAGACTGAAGCTTCAAACGCTTCATAGCTTGCTCTTCCTCTAAGTCCCTTGAGGTTAAGGCTGGTCTTGGGCCACACACTAAGCATCACTTACAAGTAGGTGGAGACTATATGGTGGTTTGTTAAGGTGGTTGAGGCTGAGGGTAAGGTTGAGGTTGAGGTTTGTGTTTTGGTTGGGATGATTGTGCATATAAAGAGGTTGGTGGTTGTTTAGATAGTGGAGTAAGTTTGGAAACAATTTCTAAGCTAGAGGTGAAGGATTTGCGAGTAAGACAATGGATGAGTGGCTTATCATCCGAGTTAGATAAAGTTTTGTTCATATGTATTATGAGAGGTTTTGAGACAATGACTTTGGATGGTGGTTTGGAGGGTGAAGGTAGGGTTTTGGATTGGCAAATTTATTAGGAACTCAGAGTAGGCTTCTTTGTAGAGGCTCCTCCTTGATTAGCTTTTCCTTGATGGTCAGAGGATGGCTTTTCACCAAAAGGAAAATATGGGTTATAGCCATTTTCCTTAAGGTGGTCATTGATACATTTCCTCCTTCACGCCTAACAAAGAGAGACAAAGTGTCGATCCTTACATCCTAGATAACCTTTGTAGAGCATCTCATAGGGAATGAGAGCTCTTTTACTCATCTCCTGGTTGCATTGCGAGATACATGTTTTCCAATGATTGTAAACGAGTTAAGGTAGGTTAATCTTATTCCCTAACATTAGGTAATTCAGGCAAAATCTATCCAAGTCAAAAATGTGATCTCTCAATCTTGACCTTAGTAAAAAGGTGTTGAAGAACATGTTGTGGAACATCTTGCTAAGTGGAGTGAGGTTGGTTGTGCAAAGGAATTTCTTCAACTCGTTCCTCTACGGTGGTCGTTGACCATTTAAGTAGATAAGTGCATCTACTATCTCTTGGGTGATGACGACTTCCCAATCACCCTTGTAGACTTCACCTTTTTCCTTGTAACTTGAGATTATTGCAATGATAAGAGGATCCACTTGAACAATTGTCTGGTTACTTGTTTGATGATAGAGTGTGACTCCTAAATGATACGTAGTTGTCCAAAAGTTGGCGTAAAGAGCAATGTGCCAATTGCACTTCAGCCCAATGAATGAGGTCCAAGTAGTATGGTTATGATAAATCTTCATTAGATAGCCCTTGTCTTACATTTTAAATTTATTTATATATTTATAATTTTTATCAAGTGAATAAATGATAATAAATTAAAAAATATGTCATCATATATTTTAAAATTTTATAACGAATATTTTTTATAAAATTAAGTTAAATACTATAAATTATATATTTGAATATAATAGGTATGTATTGGTATAATATTCACATCTCTAAGAGATAAATATATAATTTATTTTATATTTTAAAATAAAAATAATGTAATATTTACATCTCTAATAAAAAGTGTAATCTACTTTAATAATATTAAATTAAATTGATTAAATTATATAATTTAACTTTAACATAAAAGAAGATAACAATGGAATAAAAATAATGTCATTTACTTTATTTATTATATTAGGTATAGCTAGCTAGAAAAGGGGTTTGCCGACATCTAGTTTTTCTTAATTGAGTGTAGGGTTGGTTATGCAGTTCCGCCTCCCTTTTCAAAATATACCCGGATCTTTAACTTATACATTAAGATACATTTAATTTTTTAAGTTTAATGGTGATGAAGTTAAAATACATAATAATTATACATTAATAGTATAAAATATTTTTATTGAATCAAATAAAATCCACTATTGATATAATTTATAGTTTTTTATTATAAGATAAAATAGGTTATTTATAGAGACAATAAATTTATAACGCTATTTAATTACATATTATTATGTATAAAAAATTATAATTTAAATATATTTTTAATCCGTATAATTCTTTATTTTTTATTCTCTAAAATTTGAAATTACATTTTTAAGGATTATTTTTAATTACCTATGTGTTTATTATAAAGTTAAATAATCATATTAGTTAATATCATTATTACCTATGATACCATCTCAATATGTTGTACCTCTAATATTTAATGTTAAAATATTATTTATTTATCTTAAAATTTTATAAAAAATAAAAAATAATAATGAATTTAGATTTAAAAGTATGAAAAATAAAAATATATTTTAAAAAACAAAATCAAAATTTATTCATTTTACATGACCAAAAATAATGATTACAAATTTTAAAATAAAATTTTTTTTTCTAAAAATCAAAATCATTATTTATAAAAATTAAAAAATATACTTAAACTTAAAATTTATTAAGTTTCATAATAATTACTCTTAAAATCATATCAAATACATTAGTTGTATAAAATTCTTATACACCGAAAGTAATGAAACTGTTATTATAATAAAACTCAACAAGTTTCATAGTGGTTTACGATTAAACATTTATGTAAAATTATTTTACACATAATTTATTTTCTCCTAATTTGAATTATGTAAAACAGAAGAATATTATAAAAAAAAAAAAAAAAAGTATTTTAATTGTAATTTTTTTTAGCCATGTTTAATGATTAAAAGCATTATATAAAGAAGTGCCCTTGAAACCCTACCGTGTGGTGCGCCTCCTAACGAGTTGAGAGGTGGTAGCTGCTGCGGAAGCTTTCTCTTCTCAACCTTTCGCAGCAGCAATCGCTTCCCAGCCATGGCACGCTCTTTCTCTCTACCCAAACGCGCCCTTTCCCTTGCTCTTCAACGGTTCGTTCCATTTCCAATCTCATGCATTAAACGCTCTTATATATTCTTTTTCTTGCATGCCATGCCACTTTAACATGTTATGTCTTCTTTTTCCATCTAACATGAAATGGAACTAGCAATTCAGCACGTTTAATTTGTTTTTTTAAAATGAAATGGGAAATTAATTTTTAATTATTTATTTATTGAGATAATTGAAGTGGGTGTGTTGTTTGTGACATGTATTTATTATGCTTATATGGTATGTGTTGTGTTACATAACGTTACAGGCGAGGGTACGCAGTGGCGTCTTCAGATGTTTGTTCGGTGAGGGGGGGTTTGGATAGGATTCGGGGTAGGAGCGGAATAGTGGAAGAGAAAAGTGCCACAAAACATGGTTTGGGCCCTTCGGCTTGGGGCCCAGACCCTGTGACGGGTTACTACAGGCCCATCAATCACACCGATGAGATTGACCCGGTGGAGCTCCGACAGATGCTGTTGAACCACAAAGTTAGATCCTAGATGCACCAACACCCACACCTAGTTTCATCTAATTATGTTCCTTTTGCTTTTCTAGTTTCTTTTCTTGTAAACCAACAAAATATATGTTGTCTCTTTATCCTTTTGCAATTATGAAGAATCTTATTTCGTTTCTGTTTCTTGTTTTTGGGTTACATTTTTAGTGCATGGTGATGCTCGATCTGTTTATTGTCTGCGAATATCTAGTGGAACATATTAATTTGGGATCATGAGATTGAGATCCTTTGGGTTTAGATGAGTCATGGTTTAGGTGCAAGGGGATATTATGATTCGAGTAATCCCATAAAAAAAATTATAATAAAATAAAAGAAAATTAATGGATAATAACATAAATCATAATTATATAGAATTACATAGCATAAAATATTTAAGTTGTGACATGGGGGTGGTGGCTCAACGTGGATTGGTTCGATTTTGAGTAGGGGTGTTCATGGTTCGGTTTTTTCAAAAAACCGATCCAAATCGAATCGAACCGTTTGGTTAACCGATCCAATTTTATTAAGTGGATTGGTTTAGTTTTTTAAAATATGGATCGGTTTTTTTGAAATTGGATCGGTTCGGTGCGGTGCAGTTATCTACTTTTTTACTCATATATGGATCAGTTTTTTTAGAAAATCAAATCGAACCGATCCACTTTATAAAAATAGATCGGATAACTGAACCGGTTTTATAAAGTAATTCGGTTCAGATTTTTTTCCAAAATGGATCGAATTTTTTAATATGGATCAGATCGGTTATGGATCGGTTCAGATCAATTTGAATTTTTTGCAAACCCCTAATTTTGAGAGGATCTACTTAAAGAGAATGAGGGAATAAAAGAAGGGCAATTGGGAAAGGGAAAAAAAAAATTCTGTCATGAGGTAAAGAATAATGAGATGTAACATATTGAGAAATTTTTTCTGATAATAGGAGACTTTATTTGACGTTCTCCGCGAGCATTTGTTTTGCATTGATTGATAACAGGTAAATTTAACTAGCAAGCTTCCGTCAAAAAATAAATTGATATGTCCTTGAAATTCATGACTAAAACAATCACTAATTACTAAGAGATATACTAAATTGAGATTTTTTTAAAAATTATTATTAAAAAAGTTTCGTAGGATTTAAGAGTTTTTTTTTATAGAAATTTGTTGATTTTTTAAGATTCTTTTAAAAGATTTTTGTAATTAAATTTTTTTAATATAGATTTTAATGAATTTATGTCATAAATATTTATAAGATTTGAAAGAATTATATGAGATTTTAAAAGACAATATAAATTCTTAAAAAAAATAACACAATTAATGAAGAAAAAACAAATAATAAGATTTGAATAAAGAAAATAAAATTATTTTTTTCAATCTTTTAATATACAATTGATTCTAATTTAATTTAATGTAATCTCAAATAATATTTTTTTATATATATTTCTCTTTTTTTTTTCTATTTATATTCTTCCATTCAAGCTATTAAATTTAAACAATATATTTAAATTTATGATATTTATTGACCAAAAGAATTGTCAAAATATATGTTTAAAAATTTTGGTATTGACGCATTTCTAAAAAAAAATTATGCGAATGAATTTTTGAATATCATCTATTGATAATTTTTTAAATTATTAAAATTTAATACCTAATTTAATGTACTTCTAATGTTTTTATTGTCTTAATTAAATATTACCATATTTTTTATATACTCTTAAATTTTTTTTTAATTATCTTAATCATATATCATATGAATTTATATATTATTTTTTTTACTAAATACTACAAAACCTTTTTATAATAAAAAAATATAATAAAATTCTTTCAAATCTTAATCCAATACACTTCTAATTTTAAGCATTTTTTTTCATGATTATAGAGATGAAATTTATTATTTTTGTGATTTTAAGATTAATGTGATGATTTATTCCTATCGATTCATAATAAGTCCATTACATTAGTCGTGTGTGTTAGAGTATAAAGTGCAGTATTTGATGAATGTTTATTGATTAACTAATTATATTCACGGCTTCATTTTTTTATATAAATATTCGGCTTCATCGTTGTGACAAACTTTTTGGAAAGATTTTTATAATTAGCATGGTATTGTTGATCATTATCACGCTTCTATTAGAACTATTTATCGTTGACATCAAGTTTTTAAGTTGTATAAAGTGTATTATTGGCCAACTTTTACATTATATAATATTAAATTTCTTTTAAAAAATTTGAAGGGTCAATTTTATATTAAGAAATAATTTATTAGAGTTAATTTAACCGTATAGACTTAAAGTAGTATACATAAGATCAGAAGTTCAAATCTCATTATTATTATTATTATTAGACATAAAATAAATTTTTGAATTAAGATGAAGTCTTTATAAAATTAATTTTAATATATTTTTACCTAAATTTTAAACTCAACTAAGATTAGGGAGATTCTTAATCAATAGATTTACAGTGTGTTTGGTAACCCATTATGGACATGATTTTCCATGTCAAATCCAAAACTCCTTGTTATAGCTTTTGCATCATGAACGTGAATTCATTATTGGATCCATATGTTGGTGAAGTCTCTGATAGTGAAGTTTAGTAAGTGGTCC